ATGGGTTTCCTGAATACAGCACACCAATGGATCTTGACTTTTTATCCAGTTTGCCAGTCTGTGTCTTTTGATTGGGGCATTTAGCCCCTTTACATTTAAGGTTAATATTATTATGTGTAAATTTGATTCTGCCATTTGATGCTAGCTGATTGTTTTGCTCATTAGTTGATGCAGTTTCTTCATAGTCAATGGTCTTTACAGTTTGGTATGCTTTTGTGGTGGCTGGTACTGGTTGTTCTTTCCATGTTTAGTGCTTCCTTTAGGAGCTCTTGTAGGGTGGACCTGGTGGTGATGAAATCTCTCAGCAGTTGCTTGTCTGTAAAGGATTTTATTTCTCCTTCACTTATGAAGCTTAGTTTGGCTGGATATGAAATTCTGGTTTGAAAATTCTTTACTTTTAGGATGTTGAATATTGGCCCCCACTCTCTTCTGGCTTGTAGGGTTTCTGCTGAGTGATCCTCTGTGAGTCTGATGGGCTTCCCTTTGTGAGTAACCCGAGCTTTCTCTCTAGCTGCCCTTAGCATTTTTTTCCTTCATTTCAACCATGATGAATCTGACGATTATGTGCCTTGGGGTTGCTCTTCTTGAGGAATACCTTTGTGGTGGTCTCTGTATTTGCTATATTTGAATGTTGGCCTGCTTTGCTAGGCTGGGAAATTTCTCCTGGATGATATCCTGAAAACTGTTTTCCAGCTTGGTTTCATTCTCCCCATCACTTTCAGGTTTTTTCTAGTTCTGTGAAGAATATCTTTGGTAGTCTGACAGGAATAATATTGAATATCTAAATTGCTTTGGGCAGCATGGGCCTTTTAATGACACTGATCCTTGCTATCCATGAGCATGGGATGTTTTTTTCATTTGTTTATGTCAGCTCTGCTTTCTTTGAGCAGTGTTTTATAATTCTCATTGTAGAGATTTTTTTACCTCCCTGGTATAACTGTTTTCCTAGGCATTCTGTTCTTTTCTTGGTAATTGTAAATGAGATTACATTCCTGATATGGCTCTCAGCTTGGCTGTTGTTGGTGTATAGGAATATTTGTGAATTTTGTGTGTTATTTTTGTATCCTGAAACTTTGCCAAAGTTGTTTATCAGCTGAAGGAGCTTTTGGGCTGAGACTGTGGGGTTTTCTAGATATAGAATCATGCCATCTGCAAACAGGGATAGTTTGACTTCCTCTCTAACTATTTGGATGTACATTATTTATTTCTCTTGCCTGATTACTCTGGCCAGAATTCTTAATACTACGTTGAATAAGAGTAGTGAGAGAGGGCATCCTTGTCTTGTTCCTGTTTTCAAGATGATTGCTTCCAGCTTTTGCCCATTTGGTATGACATTGGTTGTGAGAGTACCTCATTGCTAATTATAAATAGACAACAAAGGACCATCAGACTTCTGAGCAGAGCCTCAAACATGAAAGCCAAAAAGTGAAACAAAGAAAACGTCTCAAAAGGAAACAGAAGCAATGCAGCAAACTGAAGGAAACTTCAAAAACATACTAGAGTTGATATCCTCAAAGAAATATAAATTGTATTCCTGGGACAAGAAAAGGGGCAATTAAAAAAGGTCTTTTGGAGAATAAGAAAAAATTTTGGTAGTTAGAATATGATAGCCAAAGTTAAAACTTTAATAGGATGGAAGATAATGAAAGAACAGAAAGTTAAAAGTGGTAAAATGATAGAAAAAGGATAAGAAAGTTAGAAGATTTGTTGAAGAAATTCTTCATTTAAAATAATAGAAAGATGTTCCAGACAGAAACAGAAAATGGACAGAAAAGCATTATTCGCCCCATGGGAAAATTTCTGAAAACTAAAGAAATCAGTTTCTAAAGCAAGTACTCACCAAGGACCCAGCACAGAGAATGACAAAAAATTAACATGATGATATGTTGTGATCAGATTGAAGAATCCCAAGTGAAAAGTGAAAAAATTTCTTTCAGAAAAAGTTTCTGAAATAGGGGGAAGGTTGGGGGAGCCACCATATATCACACAAAGAAATATAAATGAGAATGTCATTGGATTTCTCATCAGTATCACTGGAAGTTAGGAAACAATGGAATAGTGTCCTAATTTTCTGCTGAATATTTTTCAAATCTGTGATTTTCTATTCAGCCAAACTGTCCCGTCTGAGATAAAATAATAACATGTTCAGACATCCAGAGTTTCAAGTTTACTTCCTATGCACAGGAAATTTCTGGACGATTTGCTCCAAGGAGTAAACCAAGAAGGAAGAAAACTTCAGAACCAAGGTATAGGAAAAGTGACATGAAAGAGAGATGAGGACAGTTCCTCAAGTGATGGAGAAGGGGAGTCTCATGATGACAGCTGTGTAGTCAAGCATGAGCATAAACCAGACTAGAGCAGGGGGATGGAGAACTCCCAGAAGGCTACCTCCTGGAAAAGAGATGATTTGGAAAGATTATCTACTGTGTCTGAAGGTGTTGGGAGAAGAATTACCTCTCTGTCCAAGACGGAAGAAGAACAAATATGGTACCCAGAAAAGAACGAAAGGAGAAAAGGAGACAATTTTTAATTCCAGAGACAATAAAAAGTTATATAAGAACGAAATGTAATCATAGTATTATATGTGGCTCACAGTGAACAACAATGTAAATGCTAAATATAATTTAATAATAAGCGCCGATTTAACTATATTGGGAGGATTAAGAGAAGAGTAGGTGTATAGGATGGTAAATTCTTATTAGCTACCTACCCCAACATTTATTTTGCCTTCTAAGTAACAGAACTATGAATATATCTGGGGTATAATCTTTACAGGATGACACCTTCCAGTTGTATGTGCAGCTAAATATGGCTATGTATCTAACTTCAGTAGAAGTATCCAGTGGTACTTTAAGGAGATTGACTTAAAAGGGATGGAGTAGGCCATTATTCTTCTGTTGCTGACCTGGAATGGGAATGTAATCGTTGAAGCTTTCACCACCATATGGACTATGAGAATAAAGTACAGATACCAAAGATGGTGGACCAAAGGCATAGGAAGGATATGAGGCTCTGATAACATTATAAAGCTATGATACTAGCACTGGACTGGTTACCAATGTGTTTGTTTTATGTGAGATTATATGTATATTTATGCCATCATATTCAGGTCTCAATTATATGTAGCAGAACTACATCTTAATTGATATGTATCACTAAGTAATATATAAAATTAAATATTAGGAAATAGTGTAAATATAGAGGTAAGTAGGAGAAACGGGAAAAACATTAAAAGTTTCCTTTGACAGTGAGAATTGGGGTAGAGGCATATGGTTACTATTTTTTTTTAATAATCCTTTTAGTGTTTGTTATGGTTGGATGTGGTTTGTCTTCACCAAAACTCATGATGAAATTTGGTCCTCAACACAGCAGTGTTGGGAGATAGGGCCTAGTCAGAGGTGTTTTGGTTGTAGGGGCAGATTCCTCATGAATAGATTAATCTCCTCTATTGTGAGTGAATGGAATTTTTGCTCTGACAAGAGTGGATTAGTTCCCAACATAGCCGGTTGTTAAAACACAGGGAGAGGTACATGGCCACCTGCTTTCAGCCCATTATCCTTATTGTTTGGCTTGCTAATCGAGAGTACCCTCCAAATCACTTGACTTTTCTCAGTTGTAGGTCTCCGGAGATGCCCCCAGATGCTCCACATTAAAGATGCATCCTTTCTTTGCTTCCCACCCCGCTAGAAACTATGAAGTGTTTACTAGAGAACTAATTCACATTGTCATGGCTGGAAATATCCTCTGATGCTCAACTCCCCTTATCTATAGATTGAGTTGGTTTAAGGTCTACTTTGTATTATAAGCATTGTTGTTCCTACTGATAGTGACTCTGTTCTTGATTCAGGTGAACAGCAACCATGCTGCCATAAAAAACAACTAAGTGGGAGCTTATTTTTCTGCTGCATTGTGCAGTGACTGGTCTCACCTAAGACTTTCATGCAAGAAGAAGCACCTTCCTTTTTATCAGGAAATTTCTAGTGCTTCCTGTTATTCACAGCTGAATGTAATGCCTCAGTTTATCTTCAATTGTTTGATTATATGTGATAAAAAATGTGTTTTCTTGGTAACCAATATTTCTGTACATTTATCTTAGAAATAGATTAATAACTATAGAAACTACACACTAACAAATCTCATTGTCTTTTTAATTAATTAAGCTATATTAGAATATCCCATTGTCATGATATATTAGATCAAGTTTGTAATGTCACGATGTGACATTGTGAGTTATTGTTACCAAGAAGATAAAATGTCAGGCATCTTTTTCCTCATGTAAATTTTACTTTTCATGCTTATATACTTACAATTTTAATTTTGATCCTCATTTTTCATTCACTCATTATACCAAAAGTTAACTCATGTTCTTCTGAATGACTTCTTACCAAAAGCCCCACACAAAAAAAAGAGTTGGCTTCCTTGATTTTCTCTCTTGCTTCCTCTCTTACCATGTGATCCCTTTGCACATGCTCCCTTCCACTTTCCACCATAAGTGGAAGCAGCATGAGGCTCTCACTGGATGCAGCATCCAGTCTTGAATTTTCCAGCCACCAGAATCATGAGCAAAATAAACCTTCCTTTCCTTATAAATTGCCCAGCCTCAGATATTCTTTTATAGCAACACAAAATTGACTAAGGCAGTAATATTTGACATTTTAAATTTGAACATGTATTACTTTAAATGAAAATATTTTTATGTTGTGATCAATATTTATGTATATATATTCATTGTAAACAGTTGAACAATACAAAAAGAATCTAGTTCTGCCTGTCTTCAGTATTCTTTACTTTTTCCCCCTGCCCATAAATTCTACTCTTCTTCCCAGGATTGGTGTCCAAGATTTGGTCTCTTCCTATTTTTTCTGTACATTCATATAGCATATATAAGAGGCTTAGTTTCTTCTTCTACTCATTTTCATTAAAAGTAAGTACAGTTAAACGTTAATTTAAAAATAATACATATGAAGGAATACTTAAGGGATGTTTGTTTATATTTTTAGAATTTATGATGTAGGCATGCAGTTAAAAAGTCAACAAAATGAATTTCAGAAAGTAAAGAAGCAACTGACTCATTTACAAGATGAATTAAAAATTAAATATAGACAATCAGACATCTTCAGGTAAGATTAAATAACTGAAAATTATAAAGATTAAAAAGATATGTTTAATAGTAACTTTGTAAATAGCCAAACACATTTTAGTCGTATGATTTCTATATCTGATGTGATTGAGAAAAGTGAAACAGCATTACATTTTCTTTTCTGTTATTTAAACCATTATCTCAATGAATACTTTTACTAATTAAATTTAAATTAGGCATATGCCTTGTTCTAGTAGTGCGTTGTTATTGTTCTTCTTTTGTGGTGACATTTAGAATGAAAGCACGGTAACTAATTTCCCTCTTCACCAATATTTCTTGGTCTATTTGATCACCTGAGTGATAGCCCAGTGACAAGAAAAGCAACAGAATAGGAAAACTTCCTAAATAATATTAACATAATCCTTAAATTCAGAAATCTCCAGTGTAAAACATGTTAATTCTGCTTTTATATAATCCTTGGAGTATTTATAATACTTAAAGATAAAATCCAGTTTTCTAAAGAAACTAGGAAGTTCATTTTCTTCCTAGAAAGTGAATTGAATATATTGAGAATGTTTATGAGAAAGAATAATTTCTTTTTAAATTGAATAGCTTTTAGCTCTTAGAAAAGGGAAGGAAATAAATTAATTCAACATGGCAAATGACATAGCTTCAAGATGACCAAAAAAATATGCTGGGTGAGTATTTTGAATGTTAGATTTTTGTTTTTTAACTAATAATTATTAGGAATATTCTGAAAAACATTCTGTAGACTAATAATTTTTAATGCATTATCTGATAACCTATTGGACCATCTACCTTTTATAAATGCCTTGCACATAACTGATGTTCAATGTATAAGTTTTGAATGAATGCATGAATGAAGTCCACTCACAAAACAAGATAAAAAACAAGATAAAAAATTTTTTTATCATCAGAAATTCCCTTGATCCTTTCCTAGAAATCTGATATTGAACCAACAGGATAATGCCATCCAGGTGATCCCAACTTTTGTGTTTTAATCAGGACTATCAGTATTCATTTTTGGCTTCTGTAATAGCTTTGGCCCGTGTCTGCTGCAAAAGTCCCATCTGTTTTATCCACTAATGCTATCATGGATTTACCATCCATGAGAGTTTGACCTTTAAAGGCTGGACTGGGACTAGATCAGATAATTACTGCTGCTTCAGGATGTTATGATACGGATAAAGTTGATCCTCATTATTTTCATTTTTGCATGTTATCTTCAGCATTTTAAAATTTTGAAGAAATGTAGACATACATTTCTTCATATGGAAGTATTATTTTTATTCTGTATTCTAATTTTGTCATCATTTTGAGTTATACTTTAACAGATTATTTTGTTCACATATTTTTATAGATCTGTGATTTTTGCTCATTTTTAGTTAAAAGATCACAAATTAGCAGTCTGGGATCTGACTAATCTAAAAATAGTACATACTAAAAGCAATTTTGAAAGTAACTGGTCAACTGGATAGTACAAATTACAGTTTGTAATAATGAATAGAAATAATTATTGACTTTATTTATACTCTCACTAGTAGATATAATATATTCCATAGAAAAAAGGCATACTATTAAAAATAAAATCAAACCAAATTTGTAGAGTTCAGTGACTTTGGTGCATTACTAGAAGTTGATTTTAAGCTAGATTATTGATTATTTAAAAAATGTTAGGGCATAAAACTTAGTCATTGCTCTGGATAAAGAAAAGAAGCATATAATCTTCTCTCTTGAAGAGGTCCAGGATTCATGAGCCAAATGTAGGATGGAAAAAAAAAAAAAAGAAAAGAGGTAAGGGAAAGAAACATGAGCTTTCTACTCAAATGTGTCATTATTTATGGGGCCCAAAAGGAACATTCAGTGGATCAGTGAACTATGTTTTGGAGTTTTTTTAAATTCTTCTCTCATTTGATTAATTACAATTGGGCTTAAATCACTAGCCTCCAACAAAGTATACTTTTGTGTTCTGTGTTTTCCCTGACATCATTTCCAGCCTGTGTCTTACAAGGGCTCCACACGTTAGTTGGCACATTGGTTGGCTCAGCCCATCTGCTACTCAGAATAAAGTGTCTTTTAAAAATGCAAATTAATTGTAGAAGGCCTATAAAATAGATATTAAAAACCTGAATGAAATACATATACTTCACTTCATAAAGCTGTGTATAAGTTCAGTATTCCAAATCAGACCATATTTGAAATATTCTAGCAGTATTTACTTTTAGAGGATTTATATTGTGAAACTTTTATAAATTATTTGAAATATAGAGTACTTATCCTTTAAATTTTCTTATTTGTAAAGCTAGACCTTGTCGTCTCTCAAATTTTCAATGTCAACTTAAAAAATTTCTCTTGCAGCTCCCTCACTTTCACTTCACTTCTTCAGCCTAATTAAGGATGCTAGTAAATTTTCCCAACCATATTTTGGCTTTACTTTGTTTTCTAGACTTGATCCCATAGTTTATTACCCTATACCTTTTTAAAAACATCCTCATCGAGATATAATTCGCATATCATGAAATTCACCTTATCTTAAGGAGACAACTTAGTTATTTTTAATAAACCTGTAGAGTTGTGCCACCAATATTAGCTATTAGATTGGCAACCACATCCAATATTAGAATACTTGACTCATTCCAAAAAAGACTTTCCAGTCCCTCATACCATCTTCAATCAGTCTCTGTCTTGACCTCCAGTTCTAGGCAACTAACCTTTCTCTTTCTATAGATTTACCCTTTTCTGGACATTTCAGATATATAGAATCAAACAATATATGGTCTTTTTATCTGGCTTTTATTAGTTATATTTTTTGAGGTTCATTCACGTTGTGGCATTTATCCATAATTTTGTTCCTTTTTATTGCTGAATAGGATTCCATTGTATGGATATATCACATTTTATTTATCCATTTACCAGTTGATGGATATTTGGATTATTTCCACTTGTTGGTGCTTATGAATAATGCTACTATAAACATCCATATACAAGTCTTTGTGTGTACATATGTTTTTAATTCTTTGGAGTAGATACCCAAGTGTGGAATCACTAGACCATATGATTAATCTGTATTTAATTTTTTTAACTTCCAAATTGTTTTCCAAAGTGGCTGTACATTTTACATTCCCACACCATGAATGAGGCTTCTAGTTTCTACCTTTTGTTGTCAACATTTACTATTATTGTCTGTCTGTTTTATTGTAGTCATTCTAGTGGATGTAAAATAGTATCTCCTTGTGGCTTTATGTTTCTGAAGTTACTAATGATGTTGAGCATCTTTTCATTTGCTTGTTAATCATTTGTATATCTTATTAGTGACACATATTTTGCCCATTTTAATTGGTTTGTTTTCTTATTATGTGATTGTAAGAGTTATTTCTATATTCTGGGTATAAGTCCTTTATATGAAATGTGGTTTTCAAATATTTTCTCCCAGTGGCTTATCTTTTATTATTACTATTATTATTGTGCTTTAAGCTCTGGGGTACATGTGCAGAATATGCAGGTTTCTTACATAGGTATACACATGCCATTGAGGTTGGCTGCATCCATCACCCCGTCATCTACATTAGGTATTTCTTCTAATGCTATCCCTCCGCTAACCCCCCACCCCACAACAATCCCCATTGTGTGATGTTTCCCTCCCTGTATCCATGTGTTCTCATATGAGTGAGAACATGCAGTGTTTGGTTTTCTGTTCTTGTGTTAGTTTGCTGAGAAATAATGGTTTCCAGCTTCATCCATGGCCCTGCAAAGGACGTGAACTCATCCTTTCTTATGGCTGCATAGTATTTCATAGTGTGTATGTGCCACATTTTCTTTATCCAGTCTGTCATTGAGGGGCATTTGTGTTGGTTCCAAGTCTTTGCTATTGTGAATAGTGCTGCAGTAAACATATATGTGCATGTGTCTTTATAACAGAATGATTTATAATTTTTTGGGTACATACCCAGTAAAAGGATTGCTGGGTCAAATAGTATTTCTAGTTCTAGATCCCTGAGGAATGGCCACTTTCAGGTACACCGATCAAATGTAGATTTGGTGTTTTCACATAATCCCATATTTCTTGGAGGCTTTGTTTATTTCTTTTCACTCTTTTTTTTTAAATCTTGTCTTCTTATTTTATTTCATTGAGTTAGTCTTCAATCTCTGATATCCTTTCTTCTGCTTGATTGATTTGGGTATTGAAACTTGTATATGCATCACGAAGTTCTTGTGTTGTGTTTTTCAGCTCCATCAGGTCATTTATGTTCTTCTCTAAACTGGTTATTCTAGTTAGCATTTCATCTAACCCTTAATCAAGTTTCTTAGCTTCCTTCCATTGGGTTAGAACATGCTCCTTCAGCTCAGAGAAGTTTGTTATTACACACCTTCTGAAGCCTATTTCTGTCAATTCATCAGACTCACTCTCCATCCAGTTTTGTTCCCTTGCTGGTGAGGAGCTGTGATCCCTTAAAGGAGAAGAGGCATTCTGGTTTTTGGAGTTTTCAGTCTTTTTGCGCTAATTTCTTCCCATCTTCGTGGATTTATCTTCGTTTGGTCTTTGAGGTCAGTGACCTTTGGATGGGGTCTCTGAGTGGACGTCCTTTTTGTTGACATTGAAACTGTTTCTTTTTGTTCTTTAGTTTTCCTTCTAACAGTCAGGCCCCTCTACTACAGGTCTGCTGGAGTTTGCTGGAGGTCTGCTGCAGACGCTGCTTGCCTGGGAATCACCAGCAGAGACTGCTGAACAGAAAAGATTGCTGCTGGCCAGGTGCAGTGGCTCATGCCTATAATCCCAGCACCTTGGGAGGCTGTCGCAGGCGGATCACCTGAGGTTGGGAGTTCAAGACCAGCCTGGCCAACATGGTGAAACCCCATCTCTATAAAAAAAAAAAAAAAGATTGCTGCATATTCCTTCCTCTGGTAGCTTCGTCCCAGAGGGGTACCCGCCAGATGCCAGCCAGAGCTCTCCTGTATGAGGTGTCTGTCAGCCCCTACTGGGAGGCGTCTCCCAGGCAGGCTACACAGTGCTAAGAAGCCACTTGAGGAGGAAGTATGTCCCTTATCAGAGCTCAAATACTGTGTTGGGAAATCTACTGCTCTCTTCAGAGCTGCCAGGCAGGGACATTTAGATCTGCTGAAGCTGTACTCGCTACTGCCCCTTTTCCTAGGTGTTCTGTCCCAGGAAGGTGGGGGCTTTATTTATAAGTTCCTGACAGGCTGCTGTCTTTTTTCAGAGATGCCCTTCCCCACAAGGACATCTAGTGAGACAGTGCCTGCAGCTGCTGAGCTTTGTTGGGCTTTGTCCAGTTTGAATTTCCCCGCAGCTTTGCTTATACTGTGGGGTTGAAACCGCCTACTTGAGCCTCAGCAATGGTGGATGCCGCTTTCTCCACCAAGCTCAAATGACCCAGGTCCAGCTCAGATTGCTGTGCTGGCTGTGAGAATTTCAAGTCAGTGGATCTTAGCTTGCTGGTCTCTGTGGGGGTGGGAACTGCCAAGCCAGACCCTGGCTCCCTGGCTTCAGCCCCTTTTCCAGGGGAGTCAATGGTTCTGTCTCGTTGGCATTCCAGGCACCACTGGGGTATGAAAAACTACTGTGACTAGCTCAATTTCTGCCCAAATGGCCGCCCAGTTTTGTGCTGGAAACCCAGGGCCCTGGTGATTATGTAGGTACTGGAGGGAATCTTCTGGTCTGTGGGTAGTAAAAACCATGGGAATAGTGCAGTATCTGGGCCAGCGTGCAGGAAACAGTCTCTAATGGCTTCCCTTGGCTAAGAGAGGGAGTTCCCTGGCACCTTGCACTTCCCGGGTGAGGTGATGCCCCACCCTGCTTCGACTCACCCTCCTTGGGCTGCACCCACTGTCCAACCAGTCTCAGTGAGATGACCCAGGTACCTCAGTTGGAAATGTGGAAATCACTTGACTTCTGTGTCCATCTGGCTGGGAGCTGCACACGGAGCTGCTCCTATGTAGCCATCTTGCCCGGGCTTACTTTTTATATTCTTAACAATGTCTTTTGAAAAGTTGTTATTTTTGATGAAATACAATTTATCTGTTTCATAGATTGTGCTTTTGCTTATGTGTGTAAGAACTCTGTCTAAGCCTGTTACAAGGATTTTCTCCTGTATTTTCTTAGAGTTTTATAGTTTTAGCTCTTATTTAGATCTGCGATCTATTTCTGCTAACTTTTGCATATGATATGAATTAAGGATCTAAATTCATCCTATTTCACATGGATATTCAATTGTTCCAGCACTGTTTGTTAGAGACCATTTTTTCCCTTATTGAATTGCCTTAACATCTTTGCCTAAAAAATTCACCGTAAATGTAAAAGATTACTTTTGGATATTCTGTTCTGTTCCATTAATCTGGATGTCTTACATAAGTGCCACACTCTCTTAAAAACAATGGTTTTTATTAAATGTTAAAATCAAGAAGTATAAGCCCTCTAACTTTCTTCTTTGTTTTCAAAATCACTTTTGCTCTTCTGGACCCTCGATAATGAATTTTATGATCAGTTGTGAATTTCTGCAAAGTAGCCTGCTGGGATTTTGATAGGTATAGTATTGAATCTATAGATCAATTTGGGGAGAATTTTTCCTTTAAAATTTTTGCATCTTTCAGTTCATGAATGTGTTATATTTTTCCATGGAGATCTTTAGTCCTCTCAAAAATGTTTTATTTTCTTGAACTTCTTTTATTAAATTTATTTCTAAGAGTTTTATTCTTTTTATGTTACTATGAATAGGACTGTTAATTTTATTTTGGGGAGTGGTCATTGTTAATTACAGCAATAAAATTGATTTTTGCATATGGATCACGTATCCTGTGACTTTGATGAATTTGTTTAATTCTAGTGTGTGTGTGTGTGTGTGTGTGTGTGTGTGTGTGTGTGTGTATCTTCTTTAGGATTTTTTACATAGAGGAGTTTACCAACATTCCAAGTCCTTTTATCTCTACTTATTTAGCTGTATTTACCCTTAAATCCTTTGGCTTTCATACCTACTTCCAGGTTGTTAAACATTAATTCCTTTCTGAGGAATCCTCAATATTCTGCTTAGCCTCCTTGGTGCTGTTCATCTCTTAGCAGCTGTTTGTCTCCTTTGAGGGATTTTTTTTTAGTTTCAATCCCTTAAATGTTTGTGTTGTCCAATGTGTTAACCCTAGCACTTCTCACTTTTCCATTTCTCCAGTTGAGGTGGGGAACATATTTTATTTACTCGTTTATTCAGTTTTTGTTAAGCACATATTATGCAGTAGGCACTGTGCTAAATACTAAAAAGACTGTGATGAGCAAGACAGATATAGATATAACCTCTGCCTTATAGATCTTAGTCTACTCAGGGATATAAATATTGACACAATAATCATACTCTCATAGCTTCAGTCATCACCTTTGTGCTGCTAACTCTCAAATCTATATCTGTACTTGATTATTAAGGTAATTAAAACCATAATATCTGAAGTAATAAAAATCATTGAGATAACAAAAAACATGATTATTTGAGCTGTCGAGTGTTATGAAGCAAATGCACTGCATAAGTCACTTCGAATTGTTTTATTTATTATTACTCCAGATTTTTCACTGCCTGTCCAACCATGCTATGTGGGGCAAATGCTGTATAAGACACTAAGATTCTCATTTAAGATCTAAGACTAAATTGCTCTGGCCTAATTTTCTTCACTAAATGTTTACTGTTGAATATATATATATATATATACTGTATATATACTGTATGTGTGTGTGTGTGTGTATATATATATATATATATATGTATTTAGAATAAATGTGTATGAAGGTAATTAGCTATCTTTCTTTGTAGCTAAAATAATGGCAAAATGGAAATGTGTTAGAGTGACCATACACTTCAGTCTACCTGAGTTATTCCTAGTTTGTATGTTGTCTCAGCATAACATGAATACCAACTTCTTTTGGTTTCAAAATTTGTCTCCAATTAGTAGATTATATGGTCACTCTAAAACTGTTTTTGAAGAAATGTTTATTATGCTTACTATTTTTTAAAATTCTATTTATTTTTTTTACCTTGCAGTCAAAGATTGTCAGAGTACAAATATTTCTGGAATAAGACTCTTTCATTACTTACTTTTACTAAAAGGGAGCTAATCCATATTAAAAATGAAGTGTATGATAATTACCAAAACTGGACTTCACTGAAAGGAGAAATTTTTCTGCAAATTAAATCTATGAGTGAAACAGCCTTGACAGGTTTGTTACATGTATTTAGAATATAATTGTCCCTTTTTGGTAAAGGATACATCATAAGTAATGAAATAATGATATTTCATTTTATTTGATGGAAATTAGGAATAATTTTGTTATCAGTTGGTAGAGTAGATGACCATTAAGATCTATTTCAATTCTGAAATTTAATTATTTTAGGTTTATCTAAAATAAGCTATGATATATCTATCTTGAACTGTGGCCAGAAGTCTGTTTGTTACTGTTAAAGGTACTAATTTATTTTTAAAACTTCTCTTAATGGCTGAGTAGCTCATATTAGGTAAGCCTTCTTACAGATAACAACTATAAATTCTAGAAAAAATAGCTACTTAAAGACAATAGTGACGCAAACCAAACACATAATGGAGGGAGTATCAAAAATTGAAAGAAGGCATACTAAGTGAAGGATGCCAATTTGAAAAGGCTACATACTGTATTATTCCAACTATATGACATTTTGGAAAAGACAAAACTATGGAACAGTAAAATGATCAGTGGTTGCCAGGAGTTCCAGGCAGAGGATAAATGGACAAAGAAGATTTTTAGGGCAGTGAAACTATTCTGTATAATACTACAATACTGGAGACATGTCATTATATATTTGTCAAAGTTCATAGAATCTATAACACCAAGAATGAACCCTAATGTAAATTATGAGTTTTGGGTAGTAATATGATATTGATTCATCAATTGTAAGAAAGTACTACTCCAGTGCAGGATGCCCATAGTGGGGGACGTTGTGGATGTGTGGAAAAGGGGCGATATGGGAACTCTCCATACTTCTGCTCAATTTTCCTGTGAACCTAAAACTGCTCTAAAAAATAGTCCATTAACTTTTTTTTATGTTGAAAGAAAGGCATGGCAGTGAGTGAATTTTTTCTTTTTAAGGATATTGGATTGAGGGAACGGTACAGTTTGCTCCATGCAAAAAAGCTAAAAATTTGATCAAAATTTGTAGACTAGAGGATAGAGAACAAGGCAACCTCAGCCTCTGAGAAGTAAGGGATATCCCAGAAAAGTGAAACCCAGAGAAAGAGAGCTCAAATTTTGCATATAAACTCTTTACAAATCTCAGGCTTATTCCTGAAATGCATATGCTCAAGGAACACGCTAACTAGTCCATCTCAAACTAAAGTAATTGATATTTTAGCTGTCACCTACCCTATGGGAAACAGATTTAATACTTTAAGTTTAGCCAGCTTAACTCCTTGTTAAGACAAAACAAGAAAAAAATAAATACTCTTTGGCAGAACATAAGGATCCAGAGTCTTTATAACATAACACCCACAATGTTCAGTATACAATTCAAAATTACTTATATCCAAAAGAATAGAGACCAGTTGACTATAATTAGCTGACCAGGGTTTCAAATTAGTGATCATAACAATGCTCAAGGATATAAAGGAAAATATACTAGTAATGAATAAGAGAAAATCTGAGTAAGCAACTGTTAAAAAATGAGAAATTCAAGAATAGAAAAATACAGTATCTGAAATAAAATTTCACTAGATGGACTTTTATAGCATATTTCATTACAGAAAAAAGTCAGTGTATTTTTTTTGTGTGTGTGTGTGAAAGAGCATGCTTTATTGAGAAGCAGACTGCTGCACGGTGACTGACAGACGAAGGCCACCCAATGGGCACTTAACACATCGTACTCCAAAAGACACAGGATGTTTTGCTAATAAAAACCAATGGGAACAGGGATTCCGTTACCCCAACCTCATCCCTTTCAGGGATGGAGAAATCTCCCATTTTCCTGCTGGCAGCTGTAGTTCACTAGAGATAGAGCCCCTCAGGGGTGCCTTCCTGTTTCTTATAAAGAACATTTTCTTTAGATTTTTTGAAGTCTTCATTTGTTACTTTCATTCTACGTTCTCTTAAGGCCATCAGACCAGCTTCTGTACAGATTGCCTTGATGTCAGCACCAAAGAGGTCATCTTTAGCCATGATCAAGTCGTCCAGGGTTACATCATCAGCTAGCGTCATCCTGCTTGTGTGAATCTGAAAGATGCGCTTCTTAGTCTTTTCATCAGGTAGGGGGAGCTCGATCTTCCTGTCAATGCAGCCTGGTCTGATAAGTGCTGGATCCAAAGTTTCTATTCGGTTTGTGGCCATGATAACTTTCACATCTCCCCTAGAATCAAATCCATCCAGTTGGTTCAACAGTTCCAACATTGTTCGCTGAATTTCTCTCTCACCACCAGAATTTGAGTCGTATCTTTTTGTCCCAATGGCATCAATTTCATCAATAAACATGATGGACGGTGCATGTTCTTCAGCAACTTGAAACAGTTCCTGCACGAGTTTGGGCCCATCACCTAGGTACTTCTGAATAAGTTCAGAGCCAACCACTTTCAAGAAAGTGGCTGAGGTTTGGTTTGCTACTGCTTTGGCTAATAAGGTTTTGCCTGTGCCAGGTGGACCATAGAGAATGACCCCCTTAGGAGGCTTTATACCCATCTCTTCATAATATTCAGGGTGGGTGAGAGGAAGCTCCACAGATTCCTTAATTTCCTGAATTTGGTTGTCCAGGCCCCCAATATCGGCATAGGTCTCCTGGGGGGCCTTTTCCACCTTCATCACTGTGACCAGGGGATCCGTGTCATCCATCAGCACCCCTATCACGGCGTGCACCTTGTGGTTGAGCAGGACTGAGCAGCCAGGTTCCAGCAGATCCTTGTCTACAAATGACAGAATGCTGACGTAGTGTTCTGAGCCCACAGATGTAGACACGATAGCATGATTGTCATCGATGATCTCTTCCAAGGTTCCTACTGACATCGGGGTGCCCCTCAGATCATCCACTTTTGATCTTTCCTCCTCTTGCTTTTCTTCTAATGGTTTCATTTGTTCCTGATTTCTAATGAATTCTTCCTCCATGAGAAGGTAGTCTTTAATTCTCTCTAATTTCAGTAATTTTAGCCGGCACTGAGTGTGAGGTGTCACCAGTGGCAATTTGCTGGCAGCATCTGGTCCCTTTGTTTTCTTCTTCTTTTTCCCCACTCTACTTGGTACAGGAGGTTCATATTTCTTTTTCTTGTCCTTGTCATCCTTCTTGCCACCTCCAGGACCATGACCACCACTCTGACTTTGACCCATCTTGCCTTGGCCACTGGAGCTGCCGCTGCCGGAAGTTCTTCCCAAATCAGTGAATTTTAAGATAAATCAATAAAAATTATTTTATTTGAAGAATAAAGATAAACATTGAAAAAAAAAAATTAATGGAGCCCCAGCATCCTCAGGAGGGAATAAAATGCACCATAAGTGACAAATATGAGTAAATATAAAAGACCCCTTTTCCTTTAAATTAAAAAATCATATGCTTATTTAGAGCAAGAATTATTATATTGTGGGGTTTATGAAGTATGTCAATGTAACATGACAACTAGAGCCTAAAGGATGCAGACGGGGATAAGTGGATTTATTTGGTTGCACTATATTTGTATTTTACGTGACATGGTAGAATATTTATTTTATTTAAACCAGTAAGGAGGGGATTTGGGGAGAGAGAGCATGTGGGGAAATGCCAGATATAGGTGATGGGGAGGAAGGCAGAAAATCATACTGCCATGTGTGTACCTATGCAACAATCTTGCATGTCCTTCACATGTACCCCAAACCTAAAATGCAATAAAAAAGAAGAATGTATAGTATAATTTCTAACCACCAAAAAATTAAATACAAAAACATGTAGCTAAAAAGCTAATCCACAGTTTAAAAGATAACTCTTTAAAAAGTATTCAGACAATCCAAAAGATGGCATTCTAAACATCACCTAAGATTTATTCAGTAATCAAATCAGTATAGTGCTGGCATATGGATCAACAAAGATGAATGGAACAAGATAGCCTGGTAAATAACCCTACTTATATAGTCAACTGACTTTTGACAAAAGCACCAAAACAATCCAATGGGAAAGAGAGTTTTTCAACAAATTGTGCTGGAACAACTGAATACACATGTAGAAAAATATACCTCAACTTCTACCTCACACCATACATGAGAATTAATTTAGGACAAATCATAAACATAAACACAAAGGATAAAATTATAAAACTACTAGAAGAAACATAGCAAAATATGTTCATGACGTGATTGTAAATGAAGATGTCCTGGATAGGACATAGAAGTAAGAACTATAAAAGAACAAAAATTGAAAATTGATGAATTAGGCTATCAAAATTAAAACATCTGTTCATCAGAAGCTATCAGTAAGAAAATGAATAGTTAAGTCACAGAGAAAATATTTACAAAATATGTGGCCAAGAACTGTTGTCCCAGTTACATAAAGAATGTTGCTCACGCCTATAATCCCAGAACTTTGGGAGGCCCAGGTGGGCGGATCACCCAAGGTCAGGAGTTCGAGATCAGCCTGATCAACATGGAGAAACCCCATCGCTACTGAAAATACAAAAAATAAGTCAGGCATGGTCATGCATGCCTGTAATCCCAGCTACTCAGGAGGCTGAGGCAGGAGAATCGCTTGAACCTGGGAGGCAAAGGTTGCGGTGAGCCAAGATCATGCTGTTGCACCACTCCAGCTTGGGCAACAAGAGAGAAACTCTGCCTCAAAAAAAAAAAAAGAATGCCCACAAGTCAATAATAAAAGGATTCATTCAAAAATGACCAAAAGATCTGAACAGACACTACACAGGAAGATACGTAAATGGCCAATCAAGACACAAAATGTGCTCAACATCATTGGCCCATCTGATTGGCTAAAATGAACCAGTTTGGTGGTAGCAGATGTTACTGAGGAAGTAGAGCACTGGAATTCTTATGCAAATTGTTGAGAATGTAAAATGCTACAGCCACTTAAAAAAAAGATTTCACAGTTTCTCATTAAACTAAATATACATCTATCCAAAGATCCTGAAATTCCACCCTTTGGTATTTACCCAAGAAACATGAAAACATATGTCTACAAAATACTTATATGAGAATATTCAGGAACTTTATTCAGTCTTAATTCAAAATATCCT